CAAACCTTCCAAATATGTGTAATAAAATTAACATATAAGGATGTAGTTTTGCTGTATGTGACGGCGTTATTCATCATCACAGACCTATAAAAGGCTAGACTACGAAGCACGTGACACTTCTCGTCAAATCAGTGTAATTAACCTCCATGACAACCAGTGTGGCAAAAACAGAAAACGCTGTGTACACGAAAGTGTGTTGTACATTCATCTACAATGCTTACCTGTTAAACTTTTCCCTACTGATAGTACAATGCCACACTCGTGTTCCCCCATACATTCCCAGGAATGAGACACAACTCAAGATCGCGCCAAAGGAATTTAGTTATCATGCGAAAGTCGCCAAAACTAGCCAGTCACAACGGTACAACCATTAAACAAGCAGGCCTAAGATATGCTTGGCCTAGACTTTGGCATATCATAAACTAAAATTAGATTGTTCATTCTAAGCATAAGTTAACGTTAGACCTAACAGTTATCTCCCCTATGTATGTATGTATGTAGTTTATACTACTCTCTCTCTCTAATGTCAGGCCATAATGCTTAACCTTTACGTTTGGCCCGCTTCAAGCACATAGATCATCTTTGATAGATTGTTTAGGAAGAGTATTCATGGTGAAACTTTGTCGAATGGACGGCAACTGCCAGTTGTTAGAAACACGAGTGTAGAGGACGACGTTTCGAAACGTCGTCCTCTACACTTGGATTTTTACAACAGGCAGTTGCCGTTCATTCGACAAAGTTCCATCACATAGATCTTGGCCCTAACCACAGACCTATTAACGGTATGTGAATGTGACAGGGAACTTTGTCGTTCGAGGACAGTCGCCACTCTCTCTCACCTTAATTAGCTCCTACAAATCTGTTAATTAAGGAAAGCTATTGGTCACCCACCTTAACCCTAAAAATATAAATTACTCTATATTAGATCTATAGGCTATATCGATAGTATAGACTATATTATTAGGTTTCGTGGCTAGTTTTAACTTAAGAAGTTAATACTGTTACGACAGCGGAAGTCACGTGACGCTGCTGGCGCGTTGGGCTGGTGGCGTGCGTGATGATTTTCTCGAATGATCCGAGATGCCCTTTTTGTTATTATATAAGCCTGGCAGAGAAAGCCAGCAGGGATGAAAAGAGAGCAGTAGTTACTTTGAGTTTTGTGTAATTTATGATTCTGTTAGTTTCGAGCTAGTGAGCCGTAAAGTGTGTGTTTTGCACTCGTCGAGAGCAGAGTTATCGAGATTGTGAATCGCTATGATTTATAGCGTGTATTATAAAAGTTGTCAAGTTTAAAGTGACGAGATACGTACTGATTGTAGAACTTCTGTGTACTAAAAGTTTGTATCGAGGAAGAATAAACTAGTTTAATCAAGAAAGAATTTGTATCGCTGAAGATCCTCGAAAAGAATTTCTACCGGAAACAAACAAACAAACAAGCAGATACGTAACAATACTATAATATAATTTGTATGTTAACATGTAAGGCACATTAGTGAAATGAGCTAGTTATTTCAGTTTCGTTCGAATTAATAATTAAGTTTAATAGGCTTACGAGTTGCTCATCTTTGTCAAAACGCGTGTATTACTGTTTGAAGCGTCAGCCGATCGCTACATAATAAGATATTGTTGCGTCATCG